TGTAAGTGTATCAATTACAAATGGACACACGTTCCTCACGTTCCTCACATGAGCAGAGGGCTCAGATATGACTTTTTGTGTTGTTAGAATGATGTATCCGTCATTGTCAAAAACTTATTTTAACACCTGGAGTCAAAAATGGAATAACATGGGAATCGTATTTGTTGCATTGACTTGTACTGGAAAGAGTTTTTTGCATCTCTTCAGAAACTGCAATACTCATGCTCTGATCTTAGATATTTGCACATAGTCCTGTGCAAAAAAATAATTTAAATAAGGCTTTAATTAATAAGGCTTTAGGATCAAACCTGGACGCGCCCTCGGGGTTAACATAGATTAATATTTGGAAATGTGTTTAAATCTGCTTCTGTCCCTAGTTGAGATATTTGACATGTAGCATTTGTGTAAAGTCTATATTTTACCTTATAAGTGGAGAAGAACTTATAAACACTCGGGACTTTTAGACTTGAGGATGTTTTGACTTACTTGCCATTCACACTTCTTTTTTAAATAGACTGAATAATTTGATACAATCATATTGCAACAATATTTGTAAATAATGACTTATTGTTTATTCCAATATCAAATCATAAAACATGTATTTGATTAAGCTTAAAATTGCCTTAGTTATTGTGAAATTAAAGGTCCATAATGCCCAAGAAATGCTTTTATTTCTCAAAAACAGTTGTTGACCTTTATAGTTTCAAAAAAAATTACACAATGACTTATTACTTTAACTATCCTTTGCTACTGTTTCCTTAAATTTGGCAGTTAGCACAGTAACAATTATTCAGTATTTTTGGAAATAAAATATTATTTTGTTATCATTTGTCTACTTTTATGACAAATAATTTCACATTCACTGCTATTTTTCAGGTGATAAAGATCTAACATGCTAAAAAAAATCATAAGGTAACCCTTTACCTAATATAGACATGTTTTTACAGCTTTTTGTCCCCCACCCCCTCCTATTTTTAAACCCTAAAAAGTGAAGCATTTTTATGCTCCCAATAGTCGCCACCTTGTCTGTCTGTCCGCACTCACAGGACAGTAATTATGTGGCTAGAGGGACAATAGGTAACTGTTCTTTCTCTTTGATGTCATTCATTCCGTAATGTTTTTATGTGGCTATTTTCTTTTGTGTGGCTAAAAAGAACAATAGAGAGAACAATAGAGTAGCCACATTACTACTCTCCTGTTAGAACTTCCCTCTGTCTGTCTGTTGTCTTGTCCGGGGCATAACTTGAAAACCCTTGGAGATAGTTTAGAACTAGTTTAAACTTCATACAGTGGTAGAGGGCATTGAGAGGGAGTGCAATGTCAAAGAAACATAACTCTATTTTGCCTGGTTATTGAATTATCTCCCCTTATAGAAAAATCCTGTCCGGGACATAACTCTAACACTATAAGAGATATCAACATGAAACTTTGTAGGTGAATATTTCTCAATGGGTAGATGTGCAGTGCACAAGAACCATAACTCTTTTTTGCCTTATTTTCGAGTTATTGCCCTTTGTTAATTTTAACACTTTGAACTTTGTCCGGAACATAACTCTAAAACTATAAGAGATATCAACATGAAACATTGTAGGTAGATAGATCTCATTGGGGGTAAAAGTGCAGTGCAAAAGAATCATTACTCTATTAAGCCTCATTTTTGAATTATCTCCCCTTTTAGAAAAATATTGTCGAGGACATAACTCTAAAACTATAAGAGATATCAACATGAAACTTTGAGGGTAGATATATCCCCATGGGTAGATGTGCAGTGCATAAGAATCATAACTCTGCCTTGCCTAATTTTGGAGTTATTGCCCTTTGTTTATTTTTACTTTTTGAACTTTGTCTTGGACATTACTCAAAAATTATAAGAGATATCAACATGAAACTTTGTTGGTGGATAGATCTCATTGAGTAAAAGTGCAGTACAAGATAAACATAACTCTGTTTTGCCCAATTTTTGAATTATCTCCCCTTTTAAAAAATCTTGTCCGGGAAATAACTCTAAAACTACAAGAGGTATCAACATGACACTTTGTAGGTAGATGGATCTCAATGGGTAGATGTGCAGTGCACATGACCTTGAACTCCGCTTTGCCAAATTTTGTAGTTATTGCCCTTTGTTCATTTTTACATTTTGAACTTTGTCTTGGACATAACTCGGAAACCATAAGAGGTATCAACAAGAAACTTTGTAGGTTGATAGATCGTATTGATTAGAAGTGCAGTGCAAAGAACAGTAACTCTGCCTTACCTAATTTTGGAATTATTGCACTTTGAACTTTTTCCAGGGACATAACTCTGAAACTACAAGAGGTGTACTTTCCTGTGTCCAAAACCTATTTGGGGAGCATCACCCGGCTCAAACGGGGCTCTTGTTCATAGTTTCATAGTAGTTTGAGCTTGTAACAGGAGGCTTTTCAATGAAAACTGCCATTTTTCACAATATGCTCAGCTCATGGAGGAAAAGGATCATTGTAAAAACATAAGAAGGGAAATATTTTTTGATGCAGCGACATAATGTGCCTTTAATGTTTCTGGCTTATTTTTTCTTGATAGTCAACGCTTTAGGTTTAAATCCTGCAATAAATGTTTATTTGTTTCATTAATTTGATGAAGGTATTTATTTTTTTTTTGGATGGCATGTGGTTCTAGTAGTTCTACTCACGTGTTAGCTCTTGCCTGCACAGAAGGGCAACAGATGTCTTCCTTCTACAGTAAATTTTGCGACTTGGTCATATTCTTTAAAGGGTATTATTGAAAACCCAACAATTACAATGATTAAAAAACTATGTTTTTCGGAGAATGAGGTATGTTATGTAGATTCTTTGTTTCCAGATTTTTATACTTCACAACAGCAGGTGTCAAGTGCTGTGTTATAGCTGTAAAAAGTTGCCCCGTACCTCACTTCAGTGTTGTTATATTTTTCTGGTCCTTCGGGATCATTGATGCCAGCACTACTAAGTGTTGAGAATTGATTACCGCTCAAGCCGGAGCTAGGGGGCTTGAGGGATGTTGCACGTATTCATTATCCCGTATGTACAGACTCAATCAAACCAAGTCTGCAATTTTCTTGTAATTTTGTTGTGATTAATGCTTCCTAGAGATCACTTTGTTTCCAGATTTTTTAATTTTGTAAATTTCAGAAGGTATAATTATAGCCTATGAGCAGAGGACATGAAATTTTGTACTTTTTCTACTAGCAACTTTATTAATATCTTACAACTGTACAACGCATAAAAGAAATCAAGAAATGTTTGTGTAATAGATATGTTATCTGTTGAGCGAGTGGACTCGCTATTATAATAATGATTTTAAGAAAAATTAACATATACTTGGCATAAGAAAATTCAAATACAGCAAATAAGATAGAATAATATGGTATGAATACAACTTTTATTAAGAAATTGTTTCATTGCAAAAAAAGAGCACATTTTTAACTTTCTATGTAGTAACTTTTTTGAAGAGAAATAATCTCTGTGTAACCATTTATTATATACATGTTTATCATCACACTGTATAATTATGTTTTCTGCTTTTTTTCTTTTTAGCTCACCTGTCACAAAGTGACAGGGTGAGCTTTTGTGATCGCTTTTCGTCCGGCGTCCATCCGGCGTCCGTCCGTAAACTTTTGCTTTAAATGACATCTCCTCATAAACCACTGAGCCAATTTCATCCAAACTTCACAGGAATGTTCCTTTGGTGGTCACCTTTAAAAATTGTTCAAAGAATTTAATTCCATGCAGAACTCTGGTTGCCATGGCAACCGAAAGAAAAATCTTTAAATATCTTCTTTTAAACAACCCAAAGAGCTAGAGCTTAGATATTTGGCATGAAACATCTTCTAGTGAGTGTCTACCAAGTTTGTTCAAATAAAAGCCCTGGGTCAAAATTGGCCCCGCCCCAGGGGGTCATTGATTTTCCCTATATGCATATAGTAAAAACTTAAAAATTCTTCTTTTAAAGAACCCAAAGAGCTAGAGCTAAGATATTTGGCATGAAACATCTTCTAGTGAGTGTCTACCAAGTTTGTTCAAATAAAAGCCCTGGGTTCAAAATTGGCCCCGCCCCGGGGGGATCATTGATTTTCCCTATATGCATATAGTAAAAACTTAAAAAATCTTCTTTTAAAGAACCATAAGAGCTAGAGCTTAGATATTAGGCATGAAACGTCTTCTAGTGAATATCTACCAAGTTTGTTCAAATAAAAGCCCTGGGGTCAAAATTGACCCCGCCCCAGGGGGTCATAGATTTTCCCTATATGCATATAGTAAAAACTTAAAAAATCTTCTTTTAAAGAACCCAAAGAGCTAGAGCTAAGATATTTAGCATGAAACATCTTCTAATGAGTGTCTACCAAGTTTGTTCAAAAAAAAGCCCTGGGGTCAAAATTGGCCCCGCCCAGGGGGTCATTGATTTTTCCCTATATGCATATAGTAAAAACTTAAAAAAATCTTCTTTTAAAGAACTCAAAGAGCTAGAGCTAAGATATTTAGCATGAAACATGTTCTAATGGGTGTCTACCAAGTATGTTCAAATAAAAGCCCTGGGGTCAAAACTGGCCCCACCCGGGGGGGTCATTGATTTTCTTTATATGTGTATAGCAAAAACTTTAAAATCTTCTTTGAAAAAAACCAAATAGCTAGAGTTTAGATATTAAGCATGAAACATCTTTAAGTAAATATCTACAAAGTTTGTTCAAATAAAAGCCCGGGGGTCAAAACTGGCACTGCCCCAGGGGTGTCATTGTTTTTAACTATATGTGTATAGTAAAAACTTTAAAAAATCTTCTTTTAAAAACCCAATGAGCTAGAACGTTAGATGTTTAGCATGAAACATCTTCTTATGGGTGTCTACCAAGTCTGTTCAAATAAACAAATAAAAGCCCTTGGGTAAAATTGGCCCGGGGGGGGGGGGGGGGGGGGGCTATATACAGGTGGAGCGACCTTAGGGCCATCATGGCCCTCTGTGTGTTTTTTTTGTTACACTTTATTCTTTCATTAAAGTTGTTACCATAAGCATGATTATATGTTTGTTTGTTTTCATTTACATAACTGATCAGATATCATACACCTCAATATTGTCTTCATTTACTCTGCTTATACACATCTTTAGACATTTGTTGATTACAGCAAACTGACAGAATTCTTGATTTTCCACTGTCAGCTTTTATGACCTCCCCTATCAGCTGTCCATCAAATGTAAACTGTAAAACATTATTGGATTTATATCCAGATATCAGCACACTACCTGCTTCAGTGAGATGACAATATGTAACCAACCGTAATTGTTGACCATCAAATTTTGTAACAATCTGACCATTGTTGTCTAGTACTATCAGTCCTTTATAACCATCAGCCACATAAATCCTTGTAGCATCCTTACTGACAGCTAGACTGTATATGGTACAGAACAGTTTCTGTCCTGACTGGTCAGAACTAAACTGTTTAAGTTTCCTGCCAGACATTGTGTAGATATAGACTGATGTGAGATCAGAAATATATAAATCATTGTTTGCATATGCAAGACCAAAACAGTCAAAATCAGTTTCAATCTTTTTTGTTCTTTTCATTTGTCTGTCTACAGAAATAAAATGAACTTCCTGTTTGGAGTATAATGTTACTGCTACTTGTGTTTCATTTATTTTACATATTTGATGTGGCAGACCAGGTAGATTGTAGCAACCTGTGATGGTAAAATTGTGACTATCTAACCGTTTAAGCATGAAGTTGTTGAAATCAGCTAGGATTATTTTACCATCTTCCATATAGCAGGCACTTGTGATATAACAATTCTTTTCATCCAACTTGACGTTGACACAGTATGATTGTTCCCCTGTAATCTGAAGCAACTTGTCAGCAGTTTTTGTAGTTTTCTCTGTTAGCAAGCCAATTGTTTTGTTTTGTTTCACCTGTTGAAGGATTTTCTTGTCAGGTTGAAACTCTATGTCACTTACTGTTATCTTCATTTTGGTATCTTCTATCAATTTGTTGGCAACATTTTCAGCATTTTCCCCCATCTTCACATGAACAAACAATTCAGCTTGATTTGGGTTTGGAGATGTTAATTTATCATTAGCTGATGTAACCATTGCTTTGTGTTCTTGAAGCTGTTTGAGACCTTCTTCAATCTTGTCTTCAAGAAGTTTGAATTTATTTTCTATCTCATCTATAGAACATTTCTCCAGCCTGTCAAGTTGGTCATTAATTTCTTGTCGGAATTTTCTGATATCATCCAGTAACTCAGCCTTTCTTTTCAGAAGACTTTGTTTATCCTGTTGAAATTTGTTAGCTTGTACAGCAAGGGTCTTAGCTGATGCCTTCAGCTTTGTTTGAATTTCTCTTGAAGCCACTTGGTAAGATTTGTTTTGGATGAATTCTGGTATGTAGAATATATCTTTACATGATCTGGGAAAAAAAGGGTTTAAGTCTGTTTATGAAACAAATCAGTTTGTAAAAGCCTCTGAAAGTAGAAGAAGTGGTTATATACTAAACAACATGTTTTAAAAATTAATAATTTATCTTATTTACTTGTTAAGTTTTATTGTAAACATGTTTTAAAAAATCCGGAAACAAAGTGATCCCTTGGAAGCATTAAAGCTGCACGCCTCCAGATGAGCAAAAATATTTCGATAAAATCAAACCTGAGAATAAGGTAATTAGATTTTCGGAAGAGTATAAAGATTCAAAATTCTAGTATTAATTTACACGTAATTTGCGATTAATTACCAATTTTTCAGTATTTATAACTATATTTCTACTGTGTTACTAACGCAGTAAGGGCTATTTTTGCATATTTTGACCTCGTTATGGTAGTTCACATGGGTTGTAAGTGCCATTGATAACGTCTAAATTGCATTATTTTGGTAACTTCACAATATTGTACTGTTAGATACTTATTTTTCAATTTTTTATGAAAATTAGCATGAATCTGGAGGCGTGCAGCTTTAATCACAACAAAATTACATGAAAATTGCATACTGTAAGTTTGCAGTAGCTAGAATGAATATGTAATTATAACAGCCTTTAATTGACTAAAAGATTGAGATATTAGTCTAACTAACCGGTATATCTAAAAGAATGACTTTCTTCAATTACCTGGCAGAATGATAAACAATCCAATAGCATTCCAGGGATTTTCTTCTCAAAATTTAAAAATTGACAAACCATCAGTTCTTGGTCAATGATCAGTTGACGGAAAGAATCCACTAAGCAGGCAGACTCAAAGTATTTACAATGTAGGACTGCTTATAGAAAACAGATTAAATAAAATGATCATTATGCTAAAAGTTACCTGTGATCAATTGTCATACATGTAGTACAGCCAACATTATCATGATTCTGACAGTACATATCAATGTGTTTATGACTGTGTCTGTCACATCTTTCTGCTGGTGCCCTCGGTAGACCTTTGCTGGTTCCTGACTTAACCTGAGATTTATCCAACACCTTGTGACCAGCTAATACAGGCACTTGACTGTGAATCTTTCCACAATTTATGCAGAAATAATCATGGCAGTCTACACAGAATTTTTCACCTTCAGTGTTTTTACCTTTATTTTTTTTACACATTGAGCATAATACATCAAATATTTCATCAGAAAGAATATCCATATTTATTTTTCCACCGGTAGCCATTTTGTTGAAAATCTTGTTGAAACCGGTTTATTCAGTTGATCTATACAGCGTCTAAATATAGATATAGCTTGTCCTTATATTTTATTGCAGTAATAACATCGTCATTTTGAAAAAAAAAATTGTAATAAAATTCTTATTCCAATCTTTACATTTCCATTGTCTCAAATACTGCTTTCTCAACAAAATTAATTAAACCTTTCCTATCTAACACACTGCCTCAAAATTTGAACTTTTGTAGAGATAATGTTACTGTCATGAATGTTGTAACCAAAACATATCGTATCTCTCACCACTTTAAAATATTAATTTTAAATTATTGATCCGTTGTGCTTATTCAACGAATAATTGTCAAACTTTATAAAAATGTACGTCTCAAACATTTGCTAATTATTGTGAAATATTTGGACCAGGAAGTGATTAAAAATGTAAATGATTGTATTGTCATATGAACAGAATTTTGAAATTTTATGCCCTAATTTCTTTATTTGCCTCAAATGAAACAGAATACCAGAAAAATATTGATCTGTTTTATTTATTTTTTTTTTAGCTCACCTGAGCTCACTTAAGGATCATTTAATGTCCATCTAGGTAATTGCTCTGATGAGTTGGAACTCATCTCAGATGAAAAACTAGGTCACAGGAGATAAAAATAGAAAAATCTTATTAACACTCTAGTGGCTGCTGTTTTCATCCAAATATCCTGGAAATTTGTCTGAAAGTTTGTTTTGATGATTTCTAGGTCAAGTTTAAATATGGGTCACCTTGGTTCAAAAACTAGGTCACACCACTCTAATATGGAAAAACCTTGTTAACACTCTAGTAGTCACATTTTTGACTCAATCATCATCAAACTTGGTCAGGATGCTTGTCTAGGTAATTGCTCTTTCTGCTTGCATGACTTTGAACATGGGTCATCTCAGATGAAAAACTAGGTCACAAGAGCTAAAAATAGAAAAATCTTGTTATCACTCTAGTGGCTACTGTTTTGATCTAAATATCCTAGAAATTGGTCTGAAAGTTTCTTTTGATGATTTCTAGGTCAAGTTTGAATATGGGTCACCTGAGGTCAAAAACTAGGTCACCGCCCGAATATGGAAAAACCTTGTTAACACTCAATGATATAACCTTGTGTTTTTTAAAGCTGTTTTTCAAAAACTTGGATATAAATCTTCTCCAATGATAGTTTTATCATATCAGTGTCCCCACATTGTTTTATACAATTCAATATAATGAGAAGTTTTATTGGTTTGATTGTGTATGTTTATAAAACGAAGGCCATCTAAGGTCTACATTTACCAGTAAAACTGGAAAGTAGCCATAAATAACCGTGTCTGCATGACGTAAATCCCAACCAGAAAAATAAAAAGAAAAACATCACAGATTATACCATTATTTGATTATTAACCACTGTATTTTCATCCACAGGTTTTTCACTGGTGGTATTTCTAACCAGTTGTACGGTTACTATCAGGAGGGTAAATTTAAGGAAGATGTAATTCTGGTCCGGATTTATGGTCAAGGAACAGAGCTTATGATAGACAGAGATGTTGAAAAACAAAATATACAGGTAAACTATGGTGCTTTCTAAATAAAGGATACTTTCGGAAACCTTCGGTTGTCCTTATATGTAAAAAGATTTGTTATTTAACATTTAACATTGCCTTTAGCACCTGCCACAAACAGGTTATCATAAGATAGGAGTCTTATTGTATCATTATTTTGGTATGACCTATAGCCTAACTTATAAAGTTTAACCAACATATATTTTTCTAGCTTCTAAGTGCAGCAGGAAGAAGCCCACCTCTTTATGCATCATTTGACAATGGCATAGCATATGGTTTTGTACAGGGTTGTACCCTTGATGAGAAGACTATACGTGATGAAAAGATCAGGAAGTAAGCCTTATATATCTAAACTAATTCATAATTGTTCTTTTATACTTGGATTTTATGTTTAAATATAGTTTGACATCAATAAGAAAGACAAGCTTATTTCAGAAAAAACATTTTATATCTTAATTAACATACAAGAAATGAATTGAACATAATACATACAATGTTCTATGGCTCTCAGCCTTGGTTCCTGTCTGTCAATTTTTTATGTGCTTCTGTTCGGGATATTGACATGATATTATCAAAAACACGAACGAGTATGAAATAGCGCGTATGTTATGAATAACCAAAAATATCAACACCCGAATCCAAGGCTATATGGCTCTATTAATAAAAGGCCTGTCAACAGATATTAATAAACGTAATCTGCTAAAAGCAAAAGTGATCAGTTTTTGCCACCAGTATAGAGCCAGGTCAGTCTGTCAATCTGTTCAGTCTGACCAGGTTCTATACTGCTGGCTGATCCACCTTGATATCCCCAAAATTGATAATGGAATTTTCTGAAAATGGTAGCTGGACAAGTCCATTTCAGCATGATGCCCAAATTTTGTGTTTTTTGGATTTATTTTAATGTAAATGCATTATTTATTGATTTATTAGCTGGACTATTTGAAGAATAGGGAGAGATATTGCAACTGACCAAAAGGCTTCACTATCACATTATTTAAGTTTGTTTTTTTGTTACAAGTCAGTACCTTAAAATTACTGAAGAGGGGGAATAGGTTGAAACTTTACACACTTATTTAAGGAGCATATAGAGGTCACTATCCAAAGGCCATAACTCAATAAACATGGATTTTTGACAAATTATGGACCCCTTTATAAACTTTAAGGGACCAAATTCCTTTAATTTTTAGGAAAGGGTAAACAGCATTTTAGCAAAACTGAAGAAAAAGCTTAAAAAATGAAAATTTCGAGTTTGAGTGATAAATGTAATGATTTTAAAGAATTTTTTTGGATCGGGGATGCAGCTCTTAAAACAGTCCTTCCTAAAGAAGGTATAACAGCCCTGAATTATAACTACTTTATACCAGGTTGATAGCTGAGGAGATGATAAAGGTCCATGCAATTATACCAGAGGGTAGACAGGTGGTGTCAGCACTGTGGGACACACTCTATAGATTTCTGGATTTGTCCCCTGAAGGATTTGAAAACCCTGAGAGAAATAAACAGTAAGTTTTGTGTATTTTAGAGAAAGTTCTATACTGTTCAACAGATTTTTATGATCATTTGCATTAAGTAGGCTTATTTCATCTGAAATATCTGCTTTTATTAAGCTAGGTGATACTTTAACTGTTTCTACCCATGCAACCAAGGCAGATTATGATCATCTGGAATGTCTGTACTGTCCTAATATGGTCTGCAGTGGTTCTATTTAGTCAATACTTATTTTGAAATTTTCCCTGAATTGAGTAATAGTTTTGTCCAAATGGAAAGATGGACAAGTCCATTTAAGATATTTAGAATGTTGCAGATTAACTCATTTTTTTTTTATTTTTTTTTTGAGTTTTGGAATTTGTGTCATCTTTTCTAAACGGGCTTGTTTCTTTTGACACAAAATGCACATCTGTCTGCTGTATAATAAACAGCCCTATCAGTTCCTTCAATTATCAACTTGTTGACCAATCAATAGCTAGCAGTAATATTGGCATGCAGTGCCACGAGTGTTGACCAATTAAAAGCTAATGCTAATTGCTAAAAGTTGCCAGTATAGAGTTGGGTCGGCCTGTCTGCTGACACAAATCTTACTAGACTGCTATAATTTAAATATTTTTATACTCAAATTTCCGAAACCTGCTGAATTTGTGTAATGGCCCAGCTTTACTTTTTATAATTCGGTTCAACTTTTTTATTCAACAGGTATCTTGCAAAGATTAAGCCAAAAGACGTGTTAAGAAAAGAGTTAGATGATCTTCGTGTACATCTAGAGGCGCTTAACTCCCCTGTTGTGTTCTGCCATAATGATCTTTTGCTCAAAAATATCATTTACAATGAAGAAAAAGGTAAGTGAACTTAGGGCATTCGTCTTTATCAAAGGCTTGCTATATTTTTTTTCTGCGATATGTTGTTCTGTTTTACCATGATAAAATGGTTTGCTCAGAAAATCAACTCTTAGATTTTACTTTACCTGTATATATTTGCAATGTTTCATATATCTCAAATGCGTGTGTAGTATAAAGTATTATATAGTGGTTATATTATATTAAAAACAAGCATCATCATGTGATCAATATGTTAATTAAGCAAACAACTTGTATTTATAAATTTGTTATATTTTTAAAATGGGTATGAAAAAAAAAAGAAATATAATGGAGCCCCTGTGGGCGTAGTGGTTTTAAAGGGCTTGATTGCAAACCCCCCCCCCTTTCAGGGGCTCACAGCGGGGGGTTAAAATTTCCCTAAGTGATTTCAATCCCTTTTATATGAAAAAACTAAACAAGTTGTCTTACGGGAAAGTCAGTGGTCTTAAATCAGAAGTTATTTTGGGGCCTTTAAAAAAATGGGGAAATAAGGGGGACCCCAAAAGGTTTTCAAACCGCTAGTAAAGCCTGAAAGATCCCTAATTTTAAAGATTACAGGGTTTTATTTTAAATAAAACTCTAGCAAAAAGTCTGTATAAAATTAGGGGAAATTTTTATGCAAATGACAAAGCCCTTTAAAATTCTATAGAAAATAAAAAATGCAAAACAAGGAATTTAAAAATAAGGGTTTGAGTGTAATAATGTCATTTTGTAAGGAATTATGTATGAATAGTGAAATATTAAAATAATGATTAAAAAACAAAAAAGGACTGTTTGAGAAAAAGTTTTTTTATGTAGTATGACAATTTTTGAGGAACTTTTTTTTATAATAGTTAGTTTTTGGGGTTTTTTTTGGCATGTGCCAATTTGGGGGGGAAATTTTTTAATTTAAAAATGCTTTTTCCCCTGAACTTGAGAAACATTGACATTTAGTTATTTTTTGGGGCAAAGGGTTTTTTTTATATATTGAAAATTTAAAATGGGTTTTTTTAATAAAAGTTTAAATAACTATAGCATTGATGATTAATCTTAAAGTTTTTTATATAAAACTAGTAAAATTTAAAAAGCCTATAAATTTTAGAAATTTTTCCCTTAGGGAAAAAAATGTATTTTTCTTTAAATTTTGCTTATTGTTTTAAGGTTTTTCGGTTTTAATGAATTTTTTGGGGAATTATGGCCCCTTTTAAAAAGGGGGGTTTTTTTCTGGGTGTGTTTTCCAAAATAAAAAAAGCTTTTTCCGGACTAAATTCAAAAACTAATGGGGGCAAATTTATCCAAAATTTTCAGGGGAAAGAATTTAGTACCTTTAGGGGTTTTTGCCAAAATTTTTTTAAACAAATTTTCCCCCGGGTTCAATGATTTTTTTTCAGGTTTTTGGCCCCTTTAATAAAATTTTTATTTTTTTAAAAGTTTTTTCCGGATACTTTTCTTATACCACTAAAATTTTCAATTTTTAATGAAAATTTTAACAGGGGTTGAAAACTGTAGCTTTAAAGGGCCCCCGGCAAATTGCACGGGTTTGCCCGGTTTAATGAATTTTTTTTGGGGAGTAAAAGGCCCTTTTTTATAAAAAGGTGGGTTTTTGCCAAAAATACCCAAAAGCCCCTTTCCCGGAGGGACCTTCCCCAATAAACTACCCAATTTCAAATTTTATTCCCAAACTTTACAGGAATGAAACAGTTTCAAGTTTTGGGTTTTGCATATGTCGCAAATTTTTAAAGGGTTTTAATTTTAAATTTTTAAAGGCCCCCGGGGAAAAAATTTTGGGGAGCCAAAATTTGTGGGCCTTGTCCGTTCCCGTCCCTTTTTCCGTCTGTTCCCCTCCCTTGTCTTTTTCCCCAGCAAAAAATTTTAAAAACCCTGGAGATTTTTTTGTTGAAACTTCATACACTGGTAGAGGGCATTTGAGGGGGAGTGGTGTCAAAGAACCTAAATCTTTTTTGCCCCCCCCCGGTTTTTTTTAAATTATCTTCCCCTTATAGGAAAAAACTTTTTCCCGGGGCATTCCCAAAACTATAAGGGATATCAACATGAAAACTTTGGGAAAAGGTGAATAGAAACTTTGGGGTTAAGGAATGTTGGAGTGCCCTAAGAACAATTAATCTTTTTTTTTCTAAATTTTTGGGGTTTTTTGCCCCTTTTTTTAATTTTTTTAAAACTTTTAAAATTTG